GGAATTTTCCTCTAAGTTTGTCTATACATTTCAAGCAGTTCCATACAAAAGCCCAGTAGGACACGAAGAACTACCAAGAGCCTCACCACATCACTAACCCCACTCACTCAGATGGAGACCCTGGAGAGCAAGTCCCAGGAACTCGGGTCCGAGGGCTGCTGGGATCGTGGATGAGATGTGGTGTGCACCGGTGGAGGCTAGCAGCAGGCACGAGGGTTGCTCAGGCTGTGCTGAGCTTCTGGTCAACCATACAGAAGGAAATGCCAAGGCTCCCTGGCTCTTATGTGGAGCAGATATGAATTCTAGGGCATTAAGTACTTCAGCTAACCCCAGGCATGGCAGTACACATGTGTAATTTTGACACTTTGGGAGGCTGAGACAGGAGGATTGCGAGTTTGAGCCCAGCCTGGGCTACTTAGGACCTTTCTCAAAGTGAAAAACAAAAAGCAGTTGGGGATGTGACTTGGTACAAAGGCCTGGGTTCAGTCCCCAGCACTTCCACCCCCACACACATAAGCAGATACATAGAAACTAAAAATAAATTTTAGTTTACTTTTTTAATATTAAATAGAATAAAAAGTTTTTAAAAAACAAAACATTAAATATGATACAGAATTTCCAAACAAAATAATAAGAAATTAATAATGCTTGTTACATTGCACATTGTTATCTTTGAAGTAGTTGCTTTGAAGTTGTTGCATGCAAAATTGATCAAAAAAATTAAGTATTAACTGTTGCTTTCAATAAACCAATAGAAATTAGTGGTACAATTATCATATATATATATATATACACATATATATTCTCTTTTTTTCAATTTATCATAGCTAAATCTTGGAAACAACCCAAATGCCCATAAACTGAGGAATGATAAAAATGATGTGATATTTTCATACAATGGAGTACTACTCAGCTATAAAGAAAGATGAACTTGAAGCTTTTACAGGTAAATGGATGCAACTAGAGACCATACTGATAAGTACAATAAATAAGGCCAACATGTGTAAACATTGTATTGTCTCCCTAGTGTAATTTTTATTTTTCAAATTTTACTTAATTTTTTAATTGTATGGTACTAGGGATAGAACGCAAGACCTTGCGCTTGCCAGGAAAGTACATATGCCACTAAGATATCTCCCCGGCCCCTTGTCTCCCTAGTGTGAGAAACTGAAAGAGGAAGTAAAATCCAAAAGACACAATAGATACTGTGGAAGGGAAAGAAACTGCTCAAAAGGAAGAACAACTGGGATGAGGAAAAACTAAAAATATTGTACATTAGGGTGAGCTGGGTTCCTTAGCACGTTAAAAACAGGTCGGGGACTCACTGGGTGCGTTGTTTTGTGATCAGCTCCTTTGGGCTCAGCGGCCTCAGGTTCCCTCCCAGGGCTCCGCATGCTGATGACTTGTGCCTCTTTATTGCTGAATGGTGTTTAGTTCTATGGTGGGGTCACAATTTGTCGCTTCCTCTGTTGATGGACATTCAGTTGTTTCCACTTTGGCCTGCTATGAATGAGGCTATTATGAACATTACGGAAGAACAGAAGCTATTTTAAAAGATCTGTATATTTTGTTGGATGAACACTGAAAGCTTTTTGAGGGAGAAGGGAATCCTGGGGAGGGAAGCCAGGGCCTCGCACGTACTAAGCATTCCCACTGAGCTGCATTCCCAGTCCTTTAAAAAAAAAAAAATACTTTTTTATATTCAGGTTCTCACTGAGTTGCCCAGGCTGACCTTAAACCTGCCATCCTTTTGACTCAGGCTCCCAAGTAGCTGGGATCACAGACGCATGTCACCAAGCCACACTCAGTTGGCAGTCCTCTGGCGAGAGCAGAATGCAGAAGGTGGTCCCTCTGTGCCCCAGTTTGGGTGAGAGCCCACCTGCTTGTCCTGGGGTCTGACCAGGGCTGCTGTCACCTGCTCCCCACTGCAGTGCTCCAGAGGGACCTGGGTAGCCAGTGCGTCCCCCAGAGCTGAGAAGCAGAAAGAGCGTGCACTCTGCTCTGAGACGCATGCTCCAAGATCCTGGGCTGGCTGTGTCCCTGTGAAGGTTCAGCCTGCAGCAGGGTAGGTAGGAGGGTGCCTGCGAGGAAAAGACAAGTAGCCCTGCTACTGAGGAAGAAACCCAAGCTCTGCAGCCCATGAGGGACACAGAAGTGGCGCGTTCACTTCAGGACACTGCCTGCTTTAGCTGCGGTCCGTGTGAGGACTCTGCAGCAGCTCCCGACTGTGGAACAGGAGTCCTGGTTTTTGAGTAACACGACCCTGCAGTACCTGGGGTGCCAGGGGCATCTGCTCCCAACCTTGCTGGTGAGGTGCTCACCCCCTCCCTTGTCTGAGGTGCTGGCCAAGCCACACCCCCCGTCAGGACCCTGCTGTGGTCCCGCCTGCCCGCTCTTGGCCACACGTCACCAACAGCTGCTTCCATGCCCCATCTTCGTGTCCCACAGTCCACCCCTCCAGGGGAGCAGAGGGTCCCAGTAAGATGCTGCTCATGCTGTTGTGCAGAGAAAGCACCGTGAGGCCAGAGGCCAGAATATCACCGCAGTTCTCTTCGGCAGTAACCTGGGTGATCTCAAGTGACTTCTGTTTTCTTTTTATGTTTAACTATTTTCTTTTTTCTTCTTCTTAATTTTTATGGATGTGGCCTAGGGTCTCACTACACAGGTCAGACTTGTAGTGATCCTCTTGTTTCAGCCTCCCCAGGTCTGGGATTAAAGGCATGCACCACCACACCCTATCTCAGTGGCCAGCGCAGTGTGCTCAGGGCGGGACTGGCACTGCATGTGGCACTGGGGATCAAACCTGGCTCTCTGTGCTTGCTAGGCAAGCACTTAGACCACTGGGCTATCTCTGGCCTCTGCTTAACTACTTTGTAAAGTTTATGTAATGAAAGGACTACTTTTTTTTAATTATTTATTTATTTATTCATTTAGTGTGTGTGTGTGGCCAGCTCAGCCCACCTGGGGGCGGGGCTGGCTGGCATGTGGTGCTGGGGGATTGAACCGCGGTCCCTGTGCTTTGCCAAGCTTGTTCCAAATAGGTGCTTTAGACCACTGAGCCATCTCTCCAGCCCCGAAAGGACTACTTTTCAGATAAGGGCAATCAATAAAATATATTATTCTTTACAATGCCACTGCTGGCTTCCAAGGCCCAACTCTGCACCCTGATGGGCAGTCCTGCCAGCTGAGCTCAGGGGACTCCTCCCAGGCCACCAGGTCCTCCATCCCAAGGACCCCAGTGGCTGGTGTCCAGCCCAGATGTGCCCACCACTCCTGTCCCCCTCCAGGGCCCCAGGAACCTCTCTCCCCTCCCCACTTTCAGTGGAAACTCATCTCTCCCTTGATCCCCGTGGGCCCAGGAGTGCTGTCCATGTGACTGCCGTGTCCCTTGTGAGTCCCCTATACCCCTACCCTGGAAGTAACTCTTTGTGTGCCCCCCCACATTCTTTTCTGGGCAACGGGTCATGGCTGATATGATCAAGGGCAGGGTCAGCGTCATTAATGTTCCTAACACATATGGTATACAGCAGACACTTCATAACTGCACACAACTCAGGAGCATCACCCTGGGCTCTCTGCCTCCCTATTCTTCAGAATGATTGTGGGCACTCAGCTCACTGTGGCCTTGTGTTCAGGGGTCTCATCCAGTTCTCTGCCCCCATGGTGTCCTGTCTGTCCCTGACTTTGAGTTCCCCTTGTGATGCACAAGCAATAGTGAGGCATTCCTGAGGCAGTAAATAACCAGTGCCACCCCCTCCTGCCACCCTCCTAGCCACCAGTGTGGGCATCAGCACCTACACTGGCAGACAAGGCTGTGTGACTCATGGTGGCTACAGTCTCCCTGTGTCCCGAGCTCCAGCCATTCTCTCTCATTTGCTTCCTCTGCCTTCCCTCCCTGTGGCTCCCCCTTTCCCAGGCTTCCCCTCTCCAGGAACCCCCACACCCTGTGCCACCCTGAGCTGGCCACCTCATCCACATCAAGTAGACAGGCTGAGCTAGGGAATACCGGGCATGGAGCTGTGTACATTAAGTGCTTAGTAGCATGTGTATCTTTTCCTCTATGCCTTGTGAGCTGCACTCTGCCTCCTTCAAATAAGACACAGTGCCATGTGGGTCTCTGTCCCTAGACTGGCTGGTGTTGGCAAATCTTAAGGCACATTTGCCCAGCTCTGCAGGCTTCAGGGCTTCTGAGCTGTCAGTCCCCAGTCCTGCAGCGCCTTCCTGCACTCACCTCTTCCTTGTCCTTCCTAGGCTCTCCACTGCCTCCTGGACCCCTGCCTGGCACAGCTCTGTTATTCCAGCACACCCTGGCTTCGTCTAGCCTGTGGACCAGAATGGCTGTCCTGAGTCTGTCCTCCCCATCCCCTATAAATAGCCTATTTTATCTCCTTGGTGAAGAGAAGCAGTGGGCTGCGGCCCGGTCACCTCCTGTCCCATGACTGGGACTGTCGCCAAGTGGCTGTGTGACCTTGGGCTAGGCAGGCCCTCAGGGCTCATCCCATTGCTGTGGATCCTGCCTGGTCCCCTGGCCTGGTTATCTTTAGACTCAACAGAGACTCCTGTCCCTGGCTGCCTCAGGACCCTCCATGAATGTGGACATCTGGGGGAAGTTCAGGCCCACAGAGTCCTCATTAATGACTTGCTTTGGGGAGATCAGTGGCACAGTGTCACATGGGCCCACTTGGGTCTTGAGCTTCTGAGGAAGCCTTGCATTCACAGGATAAAATGGGTGACCTCATGCCGATGTCAGGACCAACCAGCAGCCTGTAGAATCAGGGTGACCCTATCTGCAGCCTTGTGACCTGGGGGTCCAAGAGCCAGAGCTGGACCCTGTGGCTATGTGAGCTTTCACTTGGTATCAGGAAGGTTCCTAAAGCCTGAAGCTGCTAAGTAAAGTGGTCCTAGGCCCCACTGGGCTCCCATCCCTGGTCCGGCTTTTTCTGAGCCCATCAGAGCCTGGAACTGACCTCCATCACCGTGGTTCAGCCCTCAGGACCCAGGTTTGGTCCCAGCCTCAGGTCCCACTGGGTCTCTGTCAGAAGCTCAGATCAGGAATGAACTTCCTTGGACCTGAGAGGTGATAGTATTCAGTGACTGACCAGGGGCCACTAGGCAGATGAGAGAAGGAGATCAAGCCCGGTAGGGAAGGGAGGCTGGCAGATGTGGCCCTGATATCAAGCAGAAGAACCTACCCCAAGGCCATGCAGGAGGGAACAGAGTGAGACCCTTAGGTACAGAGCCCTCACACCCCTGCCAGGATCTCTGGGGGCTCCCTAGGGTGGGCAGAGGGCTTCTTACTGCAAGCAGGATGAGGGGTGACCATGAGCAGTCCATGCTGTTCCTATGTGACTCCCTCCCAGAGCAGGGTGAAGGGAGGGCTCTGGGCAGCAGCTTGGGGACAGTGGGAGCCAGGCAAGGGGCCACAGTCAGGGTTTCCCAGAGGTGGGGCTCCGGCCACTACAGGTCTATGCAGGTCCCTGGCTGTCTTAAGCCCACATGCTCACACAAGTGGCAGCACTGCCAGGTGGGCACATGTGCCTTGTGGCAGCCTCAACACCACTTAGCCCCTGGCCACCCAGAGCCCAGCCCCTTCTGGATCCGTCCTTACCAGCTCTCGCCTTCAAAGCTGCCGACTCTCTCCTACCCTGTGGATTCCTGCCTGCACCCCACTGTGGTCAGCATCAGCAAGATCACTCCCAAACTAGACATCAAAGAACCCCCCAACTCTTTCCCTCAAAGCCCACAGTGAAGACACAGGACAAATTGATGTTTTTTTTTTTTTTTTTTTTTTTTGCAGTCTCTTGAGATCCTGTGGGTTTTTTTTTTTTTTTTTTTTTTTTTTTTTTTGCAGATTTTTTTTTTTAGTAGACAGAGTCTATTTTGTTGTTCTTTCTCATTTTACAGCAAACATTGCAAATATAGAAATTTTTTTCTGTACAACAGAACAACTACAGTGTACAACAGGGACTGGGCCGGGGGAACACACAGTGCTACCCATCAGGGCCACCCCAGCCTCCTCGACCCGTCCACGGGCATCTCTCCTCACCCAGTCCCCAGGCTTCAGGACTCTCCTGGAGGCCACACGGCCGCCGCATCCACTCTGTCTTCCGCAGTGGCCTCCAGAGGTGGCAACGAAGAGACAGATCAAACAGAGAATCCACAGAAAACCACAGACTGAGAGATTGTATGAGGGGCCCCAGAAGCCCCTGGCCAGGCCCCACAGTAGGTATTCTATGTCTTGTCTTTTTTTTTTTTTTTAAGAATTTTATTTTTATTATTTTTTTTAAAAAAGGAAGAAAATAAAGATAAAGAGAGGAAGAAGGCAGAGACGAATCAAGAGGAAAGATAATGAAAAAAATCCCCACCCCACCCCCACCCCTAAGACACAGTTTTCCGAAGTCCCTGGCATAAGTGTGTGTGTGTGTGTGTGTGTGTGTGTGTGTGTGTGTGTGTGTGTATGGGGGAATCCAAGTGTGGGTTACATGGGTGTCGGGACACCTACCCACTCTGTGTCCCCTCCCGCTGTCCCCGCACACAGCTCCCACCCTGTTACGCACACGCTGTGTTTCACCATGAGTCTCTGAGTTTCCAGTAGCTGCAGTGGATCTTGTATCCTTTTTGGTCCAGTGGCATCACGAGTTTCGGGAAGGGCAGGGCCACCACCTCCGTGACGGCTCAGGACTTGTGCTGGGCGGACACGCCCTTCCAGTAGTCCAGGATGTCGTGCAGATCCTCGTCCTTGGCAAACTGGACCTTCTTGCGCAGGGCATGGCCGGCCGCCATGAACTCCTCGTCGTCCTTGGGGCGGCGCCGGCTCAGTCTGAGGCGCTCCCAGATGCTCTGAGAGGCCCTGCAGGGGTACTCAGGGCTGGACGTGTAGCTCAGGTTGTGGTACTGCGGCGACAGCTGGGAGTAGGCGAGGTCGCGGGGCCGCGGCCGGGTCAGTGGCTCCAGGATGGACGCTTTGCGGCCGCCCAGGCCCTCGTGGGCTGGCGGCGGCAGGGGCTGCACGGGCGGTTCGGCGGCGGGGTGGGAGCCAGGGTAGGAGTGCCGGTGTTCGCCGTACTGGCGGCTCTTCTCGGCCTCGGCCCGCAGCACAGCGGCTGCGGGTGTCACAGTGAGGATGGCCTCTGCTGCTGGTGAGCTCTTCTCTATGTACTTGGCTTCAGCGGCTGTGGCTTTGTGCACGCCGGGGGGCTCAGTGCGAAAGGCCCGAGGGCTACGTGTGGAGCCACTGGACGAGGTGCTGGCCCTCGGGGGCCCAGGGGCCGCCTCCACACTGTGGTGCCGCTGCAGGCCATGGCCAAATGTGTCCTTGTACACGGGCGACAGGAAGCCGTGCTTGGTGGTCAGCGGCTCGGACAGCAGCACCAGCTGGGGCTCGGCTGTAGACACAGGCCCAGACTTGGCACCCTGGAAGGAGGTGGACTCAGACTTGAGCGCATCAATGCAATTGTTGATGATCTGGTTGACCTTGTCCACCTCCTTAGCAATGGTGGAGATCTCAGCCACCGAGCTCTGGCTCTCGGGGCCTGGCCGGCCCAGCTCACAGTCCCTACGTTCTGGCTCCCCAGTGCGCACCTCCATGTAGTTTCCCTTGCTGGCCTTGGGTGTCTCTCCACTCTCCACTAGCTTGTACTGTTCCACCTCGCTGGCCGTGGCCGGCAGGTATGGGATGCGGGTCACAGTTTCAGGGCCCAACAGTGGGCCCTGGGACAGTGGGGCCAGACCAGGCGCCTCCATCTCAGGTCCATACTTGAGCTCAATAATGGTCTTCTTCAGGCTGCCGGCTGCAGCTGCTGAGGCTGCCTTCTTGTGCTTCTCCTCCTGGCGCCTCCGCCTGCGCAGGCAGTAGTAGACAGCGCCCAGCACCAGCACCATGCCAAAGAGGCATCCCAGAATGGTCATGATGTAGTGGGTGGCTGTGGAAGGGCTGGGCACTGGCCCAGGTGGGCTGGGGGGCTTGGGCAGGCAGATGGTGAGGCAGGTGTGGTTGTGGTGAGTGCCCGAGCTGGTAGATACCACGCAGTAGGTGTAGTTGGTCAGTGTGTACAGGTTCGTCAGGCGGATCTCCTCCTGGGCCTGGGTCAGCCTGGACACAGTGGAGGATTTGCTGTTGTTGTAATGTTCCAGCGTGTACATGCGGTTGAAGGGGCTGGGCAGCTGCACGGTGATGGTGGCCGAGTTCTGGGTCAGCTGCTTGACCTTGATGAGGGGACGAGCTTCGGCTTGCGTGGCCAGTGTGGGCAGAGCCACCAGTGGTGTGGTGCCGTCGCCAGAGAAGCACTCTTCGTCAGCACAGGGCACATCGGCTCGGCTGCCCAAGCTTGGCTCCGGCGGTGGTGGCGGCGGTGGTGAGCGGCCTGGCTGGGAGCGGCCAGGTACCAGACGGGGCCCGGCCACCTCTGCTGCATAGGAGTCCTCTGTACAGACAGACAGCAGTTTGCTGAGGATGCTGCGGTGGCCGTGGCGGCCCTGGCCCAGGAGGAAATAGCCAGAGTAGATGGGTGGCGACTCGCACTGCATACGGTCGTAGGTCTGTGTGGCGTTGGTAAAGGCAGCCAGCCAGCGCAGGAAGCCCAGCAGCTCACAGGAGCAGTAGAAGGGGTTGCTGTACAGCTCACACACGGAGAGCTTGGTCAGGCCCGAGAAGGTGCCGCTGCTCAGCTGCTGGATGCGGTTCATGGACAAGTCAATGTTGACGATACTAGGACATTCCCAGAAGGCGCTGGCCATGACCACCTCAATGAGGTTGGCCTGCAGGTAGAGGTACTCCAGCTTGCCCAGGCCACGCAGCATGCCCTCCGTGAGGTTGCGTAGCCGGTTGTAGCCCAGCTGTAATACCTGCAGGTTGAACTGGCCTGAGAAGGCACCATCCTCAATGTAGCCAATCTCATTCTTGGTGAGGTTGAGGTACGTAAGATTGCCGAAGCGGCTCAGCGAGGCATACTGCACGCTGCGGATGCGGTTCTCGTTCAGCCGCAGGTCCACGATTGTGCTGTTGATCTGCTGCGGAATGGCCTCGTAGGGCGGCTGGTTCTGGCTGCAGATGGCCAGCCACACAAAGCCCTTGTCACCTTCAATCAGCCAGCAGTCGGCACGGGCCAGTCCACCTGCATGCAGCAGGGCAGCTGCCGCCACACACACCCACAGCATGCCCCTCCCATGCCCAGCCATCGGGACTGCCCTGGTGGGACACCCCGCTCAGCCTGGTGGAGGGGCTGGGGGGAGGCTGGGCGGCAGCCCCAAGAGGGATGGAGGGCGGGGTGGGATGACACCTGCACACTCAGAGGTGTGCTGTCCCAGTCTGCATGGCTGAAGGGCACAAGAGCTGAGAGGGAGGTGCCTCCCTCACGGCCCGCCGCCCCTTGTCTCCCACCCCAGTCCTGCGGCAGCCACGGCCTCCTTCCCCATGGGCCCGCAGATCCTGTGGCAGCTCCGCTGGTGCTGCTGCTCCAAAGTCGACCCTGCTGCAAGACAAAAGAAAAGACAGTGGTCACAGGAGGCCACCTCCAGGGCTCATTGGTTGAACGTTACCGGGTTCTAGCCAGCTGTGATCCACAGCACAGAGGTGGGTAAGTAGAGGCCAGGATGGTACCTGAAGGCCTCCTTCAGTCCCTGGCCTTGGTTTCCTCGTCTGCAAAGTGGGTGTGATGCCACACACGCAGCTGGGCTCAAAGGCACAGTGACCATGTGGAATCAAGTCTTCTTGCACAGCCCATTTTGCATTCTGCATGAACCTGGGCAGGTGAGGAAACTGAGGCCCAGAGAGGAAACAAAATTCAGCTGATCAAGATGGTCAGCCTCTGGCCTGGCAAAGTGTCTGGGTGATCATGGTGGTCATGGTGTCCTCTGCTTGGGGTTTAAGGTGGCATTTCTACCCCCAGTAGGGTTTAGCCTCAGCACCCTTGGCAGCCTGCAGGGGGCGCCTGAGCCCTGGCTGGGTCCTCAGCCAGGCAATGAGGACATCCACTGACTCAGGACCAGGCTTGGCCTGAGAGTTTTCCTACCACGTGGCTCCCAAGTCATCCCCATCCTAGGCCCCAGTTTCCCAAGTGAACCAGCCAGGTGGTCTCTGAGGCCTGCCTGGTGCCAAGGATGTGGAGCTGTCCTTGCCCCACCTGGTGGAACCCAGCAGTGAAGCTAAGGGACAGTGTCCCTGCCATGGGGTCCCAGCTCCACCATCCTTGCTGGTCAGTGTGAACACCTCAGCAGCCTGGGGCCTGGGTCATCCCCTGCATCCCCGCTGGAGACTGCAAGAGGAAGGACTGAGTCTCCCCCCGCAGCCCCAGTGCAGGCAGCAGCACCATGCGGCTGCAGACAGAGGGGGCTGCGGGTACCCGCCCTGTGTTTTCCCTCAGGAGGAGAAATGGGTGTGTGTTTGCTTGTTAATTTCTGGATTTACAGCCGCCCTCTGTCCCTGCTCTGTGGCCTGGCCGGCAGCCAGCCGAGTGTATTTCACTGATATTGACGTCTGCAACTAGTCTGCACTGAGGCAGTTCAAATTAGGAGAAAAAAATATAATGATGTGAAATGGATTTTCCCCTCTTTGGAAACTTCATAAAGAACAATTTTGATCTGGCTCTTGGGAAGTCTGTTCAGATTTAAAGAGAGGGGTGAAATCTGAGGAAGTGGGGGCTCTAGGGGGCCCCAGGGAATGTGGCAATGGAGGGTGACCTGGGGCCAGGCCCCACCTCAGCTGGAGGGGCCTGCTCTGGGCCTTGATTCTCTGCCAGGGACTGCCAGGAGATTGGGAGAGCAAGCACCGCCAGCTTGTGATGTGAAATCCACCATCGCAGGACAGCTCGGCGACTCCTGGGTGATGCTCAGCTCCGTGCCATCGCTGAGATGCAGTGTGGGCACCTGTGCCCCATTCCTCCCTCCCTCCCTTCAGGGTCCGGGAGCCTGAGGCTCGCATCCCCAGGGCTTCTTGAGAGCCCAGGGCCAGGCGGAGGTCTCAGGGAATACAGGGCTGACAGTCTCCAGAAGGGGGTGCTGGAGCCACAGGCCCCTCCAGGAAACTTGGCACCTCTGTAGGGCGATGGTAATCACCCTTAATCTCTTGCTCAAAATAACCCAAAGTCAAGTTAAGGAGGATTACAGGCCTGAGAGCCCTTATCAGAGGCGCTGCGGCATCTCCTGCTGCAGGCTGGGTGGCACCTGTGGGTTTGCACACGCGTGTGCCTGTGTGTGCAGAAGCTTGCCTACAACTGGGGTGGCACACACACCTACCTATGCACACTAGACACACATGTGAACATGGCCTGCAAGCTCCATCGAGCACCACATGGGGCCCATGCTTCCTGTGCCATCCTCCCAGGACACCCCCAGCTCCCATGTTGGAAAAAGTGTGAGGCCTGGCCTCGTGGAGGACCAGGGGCATCCCCTGTCCAGAGCCTCCTTCCTCCCCATCCTGGCTTCAGCCTGAGTGCCCCAGGTGGGGGCACCAGCTGTGGGGTGGACAGTCCAGTGGTCAGCAGCCCTCTAATGAAGATGGGGTCCCATGGCTCTGCTGCCACCTCTGTGGCCCCCAAGCCTCTCGATCCATACTCCACACCTCACTTTACAGATGGTGACACTGAGGCCCAGAGAGAAGGCCTTTTCCAGGGTGACAGTGACCTGGTCCTGCCTGCTCCTTCAAAGTGGGCAGGGGAGAAAAGGTGGGCACCTCCCATAGTCTGGAGGCCAGAGGTGGGGACTTGACAGGAAAAGCTGCATAGGGAATGGGCCATGTCTCCTGGGCACACAGCATCTTTCATGAAGGCCTAATCATTCATAAATCACTCAGCTCCCTGGCCTCTGCCCTCACCCTGTGCTTGATTATTCACTCATCAAACCATGGCTCCCAGTTAGCCGCAGGGCAGGAGCACAGACCCTATGGGGCCAGGCTGTCTTTGTCCCTCCCCCATAGTCCTTTGCTGCCCTTGTTCCATGACACTGCTGTCCCATGTCTCTGACCTTGATGTGCCCTTCTTCCCCAACAAGGTATGGGGCCCAAGGGTGGATATACGGGTCAAGCCCCCTGCAGGTTGCCAGGCCAGCAAGTGTCACCATCTCACAGACAGGAACCCTCTAGGAGACAAGTTGAAGACTCCTGTTCAACAAGATATGGGAGGTAGAAAGCTCCCTGTCACCAGGGGTATTCAAACCAGAGCTGGGAGCTGAGGCAGTGCTGCCTGAACTAGCTGGCCACTTCAACGAACCGTGGAAGGCTGCACACACATCTGCCGCCACATGTCAGGCACACATGCTGGCATGGCCCACCTAAGTGGAAGGGCTGCTCCAGAAGACCTGTGCTAAGAGGGCTGTGACTGTCCTAGGACCTGGTTGAGTGGGTGTGGATATCTGAGACCCCAGAGTGGGGCCAGTGCCCCACAGACCACAGGAACAGGCGGCACCAGTGTGGATGCCCTGAAGTGTAGGGCCAAGGAGCCAGCTGGCCCCCCTCCTTGCCAACAGGCATGGGCATCCTGACCCCCAAAGGTGGATCTCCAGGCACCCTAACCCTAACCAGGAAGGACCAATGATCCCTGGGGGAGACGAGGTGGGCAGAGCTGGGGAGATGCCACACAATCTCAGAAGGGCTGGGGCTGGTGAGGGGCTTGTAAGGAAGCCCCTACACCTGAAGATCCCTCCCCCAGGATGAGCTGTCCAGGGTGGGACAGTGGTGGGCCATGCCAGAGGGACACTGCTGCAGGAACTGCTGGGCCAGGATGGCAGGGTCTTGAGGACAGGAGAGGAGCCCGACTGTTGCCCAGCCGTCTTCCCTCCTGCCTCTGCTTCTTCTCTCTGGTTTTATGGGTCCTCATGAGGGTTGGTGACCTCAGGGAAGGCACAGAGCCAGGAGTCTAAGCCTGGGTGGTACCATAGGACTTCCCCAGCCTTTGCCACTGCCACCCTGCCCTCAGAGTCCTTGCCTCAGTTTCCCAACTGAGAATTATTGAACCAAGTGCGCTGTGGTGAGGGGTCTGGGGCTTTTTTGTCCAGTCAGCTAGAGTGCTGGAGAAGCCTCCTGACCACACATGTCAGCACACACAGACTCACATGCCCAGAGAGCACTGCTGTCACCCTGAGGACGACCGGACAGTGCATCACATCAGCCCCACTGCCTGTCGCTGCTAATGAAATAAAGAAATAAGGTGGTTCCAGGCTTTTAAACTTATGGCCAGATTTGCATAATGGCAGTTCTGGGCTGGGACGGAGTGCTTCTGTCTAAAAATATTGTCTCTCTCCTTGATCATACAGTAGACAGTAGCTGGAGCTGGCCTGGGGCCGTCCAGGGCTGGACTGAGGATTTACTGAAGGGAGAGGACCTCCTACCACCTCCAGCAGAGACGCGGGCCGAGGGCCAGGCAAGGGGAGGCAGAGACGGTGGAAAGTTATAGATCGATAACTTTTCCTTGTTCCAATGTTTAGCCGATAGATCATGTTTACTGCTAATGTTTGCCTGCCTCTGCAGCGTGGCTGCAGCCAACACTGTCTCCCCCAGCTCTGCTGACAGCCCATGGCTGACAGGCAAGTCGGTAGGGCGGGGACCTCAGCCCACAGGGCCTGGTGCCAGCCAAGAGCAAGTGCAGCCGGGCCACCCCCACTGTATCAAGAATCACAAGACTATCGTAGGCCAGACCATGAATGCTGTCTTCGGCAAGCTGTCTGGCTGTGCGACCTTGGGCAAGCCACTTACCCACGCAGAGCCCCAGTTTCCTCATCCGTCAATGCAGGTAATCATGGCCTCTCTCTGCCAGGCACTGTGAGGATGGTTACTTAAGGACTACAGAATGGTGCCTGGCACAAGGGGATTTCCTGCAGATGGGCCTCTCCAGTTTCCCTAGCTGTCTGTGGGCTCCTGTGGTGCAGTGGGAGGAGTGGAGCAGGCAAGGAGCGTGGACGGGGCAGGCGGCGATGTGCACAGTGGCCAGGGTTCCTTCAGTCCAGCTGCAGCCCTGCAGCCCACTCAGGGAGACCACGCGGGATGCCCAGGGCTCGGGGGCCTCAATCTCACTTCCTGTGCCCTCCTCCCATGTCTGAGATAGAGAAAGGCTGGCTTTGGCGGCTGGAATCTAGGAGGCTGAGTCAGCAGGCCTGGCTCCTTTTGACTTGGCCGCAGGGTCAGCGCTGGCTCACCCTGGACCTCAGCTGGCCCCGACCTTCTGGGAGGCCTGGCAGAAAGCACACAGGGAACCATAGCCTGCACAATGACCCTCCTTTCAAGGACCAAGAGGTCACCAGGGATAGTCAAAGGACACACAAGGAGCAGACTGGATGACCTTGAGCATCCCAAGACCCCTGGGGCCCCTGGGAGCCAGAACTGTAGTTTCCTGTACTACCTGCATGTATTGAGTACCTACTAGATACCGAAACCCTCCTCTGTCCAAGCAGTGGGATGTCAGTTACCTCCATTAGACACCCAAAGAAGGGGGGTGGGTCCAGAAAGTGAGACTGGCCACAGAATGCACCAAGTCATTGTTGA